GTTGAGATAAAAAATATACAGTAGGTAGAAGGTGTTTGTCCAACTTTATTTATATGCCGGAACGTACTAGGGAACCACTTGAACACTTACTTTGTCACACGCTTTGTCCGTTAATATAACACTGTTTCCCAACGATTATACTCCCGTATGACACCTGCAACCACAAATTGCACAATTATCTTTGTTCGTAAAAGAAAAATGTATAGGATTCATACCCTGATGGTTCCGTATAAAATTAATTATTCATGTGGATATTTGACCCATCAAGAATCTCAACGATTTTTGTCTATTATCGATAATAATATTGGTTCCAGGGATTTCGACTATATACATTTTTTTTCTCAAAAAAATTTTAAAAATTATTTAAAAATGTCCAAATTTATATAAATTTTAAATTTTCGTTTCGCGGGAAATTAACAAATATTCTCCCATACATCGGTCTACATCACAATTCATATCCGTACTGAAAATGTAACTTTCAGTTTTTCATGTAATACAACCACAAACTAACTATTTTCATAAACTCTCTTCTTGGTAAATTTCATGACTCTATATCAATAGAAAGTATCCAACAGGTTTTGATTTACTTACGAGTATCAAAATATAAAGTGTAAGTGTCCGCATTTGTTTATGTTTATGTTTACTTATAAGTTAAATTTTTATACCGTTCCAAGGGATCCTATACAAAAGTATTAATTTCGACTTGATAAATCACGCGTTCCTGAGAAAAGCGTCTCGACAGACGGACAGACAGTCAGATAGAAACCGAAACAGGCAGACTGATAGATAGACAAACAGAAAGTCAGAGGCACAACAAAGTAATCCTGTAAAGATTTTTTTTCTATTTTCAATTATGAAATTAAAAAAAGTCATAACTATGCCATTATTATTTGTAAACAAGGTAATAAACACGTCATCTTTGTTCATAAACAACGCTATAAATGTTTTTTTAATTAACAAGGAGGCAGTTCTGGTATTTATTATTTATTTTATGAAGTATTTCACAACAATATTATGACACTTGCCAGATCCTGGAACCGATAATAATAAATACTCGATTATTAATATGCATTTACCCCAATTATTATCTAATGTTTCTTTATATTTTTGACATTAAATGTAGTAATGTCGTTTAAATATATTTAAGGAGTTTTTATTGTAATTATATAATTATACATGACTTTCAGAATCGTGACTTCGTTGTTCAATGATAACGATATTTTTTAAGACATTCAAATTGATTAAGCAAAAAAAAAATACATTTGCAAACTAGTTTCAACACAATCTTGATACAAAATTTAATTCTACATCAGAACTTTCACATCAAACAAAATTTTGTCGAAGAACCAACGCTGAGTTTGAATCCCTAAGTATTTATCGATATTCAGGTTCCGGGTGCACAAATGCTTCTAAAAAAATCCTCACGACCACGAAGAGCATTTGTGTCAGATTTTGGTACCGCAGTTTAAGAAGGAGCACGCATTTTCATTAAATATTTATTAGTCATCAACGTACTCGGATGTTAAGCCCTTTGCACTATTTAAACGCTGATCGGGAATAGCTAAGAAATGTTCTCACGAACGCGGTGACATTACCTTATTACCATAACAGGCCTGAAGTGCTGTTCGAAGTGCCGAACGAATGCTTTGATTTGGCTTGAGTTTTAAGAAAGCTCATTTATCAATTCACTTGGCGTCGAGAATCAAGTCCGTTACTTTGTGATTCGCAAGAAACGTACTGACTACTCGGCCGTCTTGCTCCAATACATACATCTAGAAAGCTCTCTACGACTGACCTACATGATAATATCTGGTAGTTTTAGAACTCAATATGAACATACGAATGTATTCCATTGAGGGTTGTGTTTAATCTTTAAGAAAATAGGTGACTTCCTATTGATATAGTTCTAAAACATTAACTACGTTTGCCTACAGTTTGGTGTAGCAAATGTTCTATTTCAGAATAGCTAACGTATACCTACTAGGGACACGACACAGCAGTGTGCGAGTGTGACGTCATCGCACTGTATTGCGGCCGCCGCTGCCGCGTGTATCAATTTGTTGTACACTTCGCTGCATGTCTCTTTATGCCGGTATACCGGTATACAGAGCGTTCGTAAACGAGTACATTATAAAAAAAGGGAACAGACGCGAACAATCGTAGTTCTGGAACGAGTCATGGCAATGATAATTGAATATTTTACAAGCGGTTACGATGCTGTGTATGAGAAATTTTAAAACTTTGATTGCAAAAATGTAACAAGTACCTTGTCAACCGATTTTGCCGGCATTTTGGGGTGATTCGTGAATGTGATGGCTCTGGTGTGTTATTACCGATAAATATTTCTTGTACCGTACATGCGTTATCATTAAGGAAACTTTCACAACAAATATGATTTCAAACTCGATATCGGAACAACCCTACTTCACCATGTTTTCATACTATCTATTCTAAAAACTTCCGAAAACGTATATTTTACGGTTCGGTACTTACTAGTGACGATAAATATTGAAACGGCTGCTTCAGTATCTCTAGTTGAAAAAAAAAAATTCACTCGTTATGAAAGTGGAAAACGCGTGTGAGTGACAGTTCTGTTTGACGTCGTGCAAAAACGTGGCACGGTTTCAACTACGAGTAAAAAATACATACATTGCCTGTTTTGAATTTGCGCATTCAATAGTTGCCGCTTCCAACCACCAGGCGACGCACTCGACAACTGTTATTCTTTGGTTTAAAATTTTTAACTGACTACTGACATTATAATTTGATTTTTTAGTAAATTTATTCGATCTTGGAATCACTTGAGCTCATAGCTTATACACGTTTTTGATAACCCATTCATAGTCCGGCCATGTGACTTTAAAAAAACACAAAAGGCACCATGTGTGTTTGTGTGTGTGTGTACTTCTGTACGCACGTAAGAATTTATACTTCTTCGGTATGACAAAACAAAAATAACTTCAAAAAGCGAGACCGGGCTGGAGATTAAGATCGATCGATATAAAAGATAAAAAAATTCATTCTATGTCCACGCTGACGGAGCCGAGAACATTAACTAGATGGTAAAGATGGGTAAGCTTCCGACAAGGAAGGGCAGAACAACGTCTGTCGGGTCGGATAGTCATTTTATAAATCAAACCGAAAACCTGATAGCAGATAACACTCCAAACAATAATTAATGCATGTCACAATATAGCGACGAAAAACCTATATTAATAACTCCAGAAGAACTATTAATGGAATATGGAAAAATTAAAAACATCTAAATTGACTCAATTTTTTTAGCTTTTATAAAGAAATTAGGAAATTTACTGAAAATAAAAATAAAAAACCATGTGGTGTGGTCAGATACGCCGTCGATACGAAGTATTTTATGCTATTCGGCAAATAATAATTATAAATTTTGATTACGCTAATAATCAAGGAATATTTTCTTATACGTAATACGGTTTTGTTTTAATTACAATGAGTTATAAATATAAGTCCTAATTATAAGAAAAAAAAACGTTAATGTTTATTTAACGATTTAGTTTAACGCTTTTGTGTCACATACGATTTTTGCTAATCATCTTTGTGCCGAGGTAATCTGCGCTAACTTCGTTCCAATAAGAAACTGGTCAAAGTGAGGATTTAACTTTTACATTCAGTGTTCTGTAACAACATACGAATCTAATCGAATTTATTGCAATAAGACCAAGTGGAAATAAATAAGTGTAATAAATTACATCATTCCTTAACAATTTGTTAAAAATATAGTCTAAATTGTATACCGGCACAAATGTGTTCGAATGGTTGATGCTATTATTACTTTGAAAACTTAAATTTATATATAGTTTTGTAGACTTTGTTCAAAACATTTTTGTTGAAAGTATTTATAAAACTGTATTCTAATTTTTGAAACACATGTTTTAAAATTTAGGAGCGGAGACTGAAAGATGAATTTAAAAGCTAACAAATCGCAAAATTAATTTGCATAAATACGTTGGGGAACATTAAGAAAACTTTTTCATTCCATAATTTCAGTAACGAAAATTTAATCCTGTATGTTTTTAAAATTCTAGTATAAATTATGCGTCAGTTCATATAGACTTCTGCTTATAGAATTCCATCAGATTTGAAGGAAAAGTGGTGTATATTTATAATTACATTATATGTCCATAATAATATGGACATGATGAAATTATGAATGATTTTTTATGCCTTAGGCTACGGAACCCTAAACGTAATATAATTATAGAAGTAAATTAAATGAACGCTAGATATTATTGTACCTTAAAACTGTAAGGTAGTGAAAAATGGAATATCTAAATGGAACTCCTAAAAAAAGGTATACGTTTAACGATTAAAATATTTATATCAAGAGTAAGATCAGTACGCAGACGTTAGCCTATAACCATAGGTTTGAAGATTGCTATAGAAAATGATATTTGATTGAACGAGAATTTTTTTGATTAAAACTCGTCATGTCTCTTTGGGACACCCGGTTACAACGAAGTGGCTATCGCTGTATGTACACATATTTTATGAATTGGATAATAACAAATGAAAGTAATTGAAACGTTTGAAACTAATTAAATAAGTGATAATAATATTATAAGTGAATAAATGGTTAGAAACACTTGTAAGTCGTAAATAAACATTTTTTTATTTAATTATTAGTTTAAAAAAAAACATTACACAGCGCCATCAGTTTTATTTATGAAAAATTTTATTAAGTTTGTCAATTTGCACAGTTATTTAATTATGAAATCAATAACGCATGTCACTTTCACATATTTCTATAAAAATTAAATACTCTCCAAAATTGAAACAATCCAAGAGTTTCATTTAATATTCTAGAAAAAAAAAGAATTATAAATTATATACAAGCACAATGGAATAAATTAACCTTTGAAAATAATGAAACTAAACAAAAATATCACAAAAGGAATGAAAGAATGGTAATAAAAGATTATAATAAAAACTGTAATCAATATTTTGTTATAAATTACCGTAAAAAGCAACACCGAAAAAAGCCTAGGCAGTCACCCATCCAAGTACTGACTGCGCCCGACGCTGCTTAACTTCAGTAATCAGACGAGAACTGGTATATTCAGAGTGGTATAGATGTTGGCAAGCAGATCTATTAAATTTTAACTAAAGCAACAGCGGTGAGCTTATTTAGTTGCGGTTACATTTTTTTTCGTGTAGCTACTATCTATCAAGCGCCTCAATGTGACATGTGATAATGAATTTCGTTCCAATAACGTTGTTGATTAAGAACTGGACGAAAGATACTTTCCATAATATCTCAAAAACGGGCAAGATTAAAGCGACGGAAGAATGAAAGAACACGAATGTAGACCGAAATTGTCGATCGACGTTATTTAAAAATCTACATCACCTTTGTCTGGTGATTCTATCGATTGAAGAATTCAGATTGACGATGAAGTATCAGATTCCGCTCTCGATAATAATTTTCGTCCCGCTCTGGTTTCTCCTTACTTTCGATTTCCATATTCCGGCACCATTCTTTGTTCCGTTTTCGATACAACCATAGCAATTGCTAGTATCAAACGTGAACTATTAATAGTACTCGGAAACAGTCCAACGGTCACATATGCAACACATCATAAAACTTTTAACATTATCGGATCAATGATTTAAATACAAATAAGGAATGTATAAAATTACGCGCTAATTTTAATATGTTAGATATAATATTCTTAAAGAGCAAGTCTACCAGACAAATACCGCAGTGACCACATTAGCGTTTAGTTTTTGAAAGTCTGTTGCGAAACACTGAAATTAGACGAAAAGAAAAAATACGCCTAACACACGAGCAAAAATAATTTTCGCCTTCAGTCAAAGGGAAAATTTAAAACTGCCAAAGGCCGTTATTACCGCGGGCGGCGTCGCGTCGCCGCAAACTTGGCTTTCTCGATTTTTCGCGACGCGCGCAAAGCCGCGGTAAGCCGCTTTAGCATCCCTTTAATTTTTCTTTCACATACTTAGCGGCAATTTCAACTACACGGGCTGCGGCTCCCCCCGCCCTGCCCCGCCCGCCGCCCGTCCCGCGCCCGCGCCATCCTTTCCGCGGATATAAATGCCCGCACGACGTATGCCACTCGGGGAACTTTCCAGAAATTTAAGATATTGTAAAAATATTTTGTGCGGCGAAAGTTCGTCAAGAGGGCGCGCGTCGAGCCCTGGGCAGCCGGGGAGTGACCGATTTGCGTGCGGCGGGCGGCTGGAGCCGAACCTCGAAACTTATTCCATGGGGTACCCGGATGACCTTCTGTACAATTGCTATTCTTGATGAAGTGATTTGGCACTTCAAAAAATGTTTCATTCAAGTGCGACCAAATCAGAAAGAAAAACGGTTCAAGTAGACGTTACATACATGCTTGTGACGATTTCTCAGAAACAATAATAATCATTGTTCCATGTTAATGGGAAGTTGCTATATACTTTATTAATCTGAGATTCGGCATTAGAAAAATGTACCTTCATCTGTTAATTGAATCAAATATTTTTTTACAGATAACATGTTAGTGTTAGGCAGATAACAATATTATAAATTTATGAGAACAATGTCTACCACCGTAGTCCTGCTGTTATTAAAATTAATTATTTAATTAATAATTTTTTTTTTCTTCTTATGTTCATTGCGCATCGCAAGTGCAAATATTATATTTTACACATTGCTACAATAAGCAGTGACCTTTATGACTGCTACACACACCTGTAGCCAGATGTAAACAATAGATAAACCGAAATTATTTCCCTCATATTTTATTTGTTAACACGTATATAAAGTTTACAAAATTCCAATTATATTTATATCTGGCAGTTATTGTGAAATTATTTGTAGCTTACATAAAAAAATAATTAATTAATGTTGCTCGTCGACGATCGATACTGCTTTTGTTAAGTACTTTCTGCGCAAAGTATACAAAATTAGTAGCGATTGTAGTTCAATATGACAGAGAATTACTTTGGATTGAAGAATGCGCAGGAGAAGGGAAGGGACAAATTGCAGCCATTGACGCCGTATCATATCACTCATTCATTCGGGAAATCCATACATCTGGTAGGTGGGCGCCGATCTACTGTAACATTGATTTATATTTTGAAATATAAGTGAAAAAGATTTAATTTCTGATTTAAAAATTGTATTATAACATAGAAATAGCATATTTATAGCATAAAAAAATCCTTTACGGACATACGTTCAATGATTTAGAATTTAAAGGAATTTTCAAAATATTAAATTTTCATTAATTATTTAAATTTGAAACGTATCAAATTTTACAAGTTCACACTTACGCTCCTAGTGGACATTAGTTTCTTCCAGGATGACGCTAATAATTAGATTTTTATGTCACATCTGTTTGGATATACTGACACTTTAACCACCAGTTATGTAGATTTACCGACGCTGTTATGATTCACCATCGAAGCATATGTTAATAAATCTATCTACAATGACTTTTCATTCAATAAATGATGCGAGCCATCAGGGATCTAACTAATTTCTCCCCTCGTCGCAGACAGGTGTCCAACTAGTGAACTACCGCTGATAACAATACAATATCCCTCAAATTTATGTGAAAAAAATGTGCTTTTCTTTAACGTTTTTTATCCTAGTCGGGTTTTTAACAATTTATATCCGATTAAATCACGATTTTTTTTTTAATATATCAGAATCATAAAAGAAATTTACAGAGGAACCACAGCAACGATTCAACTTGAACAGCAAGGCGAAGAATTTGGAATTGAAAAAGGCGTAAGGCAAGGTGATCCGCTTTCCCCAAAACTTTTCATAGCAGTGTTAGAAGACATATTCAAGAATTTAGACTGGGAACAGTTTGGAATTAATATAAACGGATCAAACCTAAATCATTTAAGATTTGCCGACGATATAGTATTATTCGCTGAGTAACCAGGAACACTACAAACTATGCTACAACAATTAGATGGGGAAAGCTGAAAAGCAAGCCTATGCATGAATCTAACGAAGACTAAACTAATAACGAATGCCGTAAAGAAAAATATAGTAATAGGACAGGAAAGTATTGAATATGTAGACGAATATATTTATTTAGGACAAACTATTTCAATAAACGACCAATACTCCAAAGAAATAGATAGGAGAATAAGCTACACTTGGAAGCGATATTGGTCCCTTAAAGAGATAACGAAAAATGAAGCAATCCCTATGCCAATAAAAAACAAATTATATAACACATGCATACTCCCTTGTCTTCCTTATGGATGTCAAACCTGGCCTACTACGAGCAAATACAACCAGAAACTTATAGTTTGCCAGCGCAATATGGAACGAAGCATGCTAAACATACGACTACAGGATCGGTGGACAACTACAAAAATAAGGAAAAGGACAAAGGTCAGGGATGTACTAAAAAATAAAAGAAAACTAAAATGGAATTGGACTGGACATACAATGAGAACTCACAAAGAAAAATGGACGAAGGATGTATTAGAATGGTATCCTAGGAATGGGAAAAGAAAAAGAGGAGGTCAAATCAAAAGATGGGTGGAAGATTTACCTAAAGGTACCGGGAAATGGCAGAAACTGGGGGAGGCCTATGTCGATAGACAACCTGACTAAGTGGTTGCTATAATATTTATTATACATTAATACTTATTTCAATTATTTTAAAACAGTGTTTTTGTTAGTTTATAAGGTTAAAACTGTAATGCGGTCAATGAATAAAGGCTTTAAATAAAATAAATAAATAAATCACGTTATTTTAATATTTTTAGTTAACATTTCATTATTTCGATTAGTGCTTAAATCAAATAATAAAGCAGAGCTTACGTAAACTTATTTCTGAACGTTTTGCTTCAACTGAGAATCGAGTCCCAGCCTCTAGCGAACGGGCATACGGGCTGCGCCTCACGCCGCCGTCGCGTCATCGAATGATAGCTAACAGCAATATTTCCTTAATACAGAATAAATGTCCAATCACGAAAGAGAAAATGGAGACCGCGCTTCCCCGCCGGCTGCCGTCTCAAATTGCTCGCCTATAATTGAATCAATTTTCCAATCAGAGTTCTTCTTAATAACGCCGAGAAAAATGTCTGCCCATGGAAGTTTCAGCAGGAATTTCAATTTACGTGAAATGTGCCAAGATTAGTGCGGGAACAGTTGATGCGGTGGGTGGCGATATCCGGTTCATTTCGAGGATATCGAATGAAGCGCTCCCTGGCGGTCAACGCGCTTCGAGGCCATAGTCGTCGAAGTCATAATCTAGTTTTAATAGCTTCTAGTTCAATAGTTAGCATGTTAAGTTAAATATTTTTTTCATAGTCCATTTTCCTATATTTTCCTGGAGAGTTATTAACGTATGTATGTTTGTACATGAGATTAGGTACACATTGTTTAGTAAAATTCTTTTTATACATAAATGAGAAAAATTAATAAATACTCGTCGATTTTTTCCCCGAAGTTATTAGCTTCGACATTGTTCGGATAATTTAGCTACGGTCTATGAAAAGTATGTTAAGTCAGTGTTTAGAAACAAGAAAAAAACATATTGATGATATACTTTCGAATAGTTTTTGTCTGCGGCTCCACCGGCATAGAAAAAATATTTATTATATAATTAACTATCGCTATGATACGCAGTATCTACCCCATTATTTCAAGTTACGTTAGTATCATAATATAACTGTCGAAATCGTGTTCGAGAGGAAAATAAATTACATAAACTGAAAAACAGGAAGACAGTCAATTTGTTTTAAAACCGTTCTCCTGGCAATGTATTTAACCTAGAGGTGTAACACTGTAATTTGTATTATTAGTACTTCCCGTGTCAATGTCTCGTAACGACCTCAGTGACGCGTTTATGAAACGTTTAGTAGTTGTACCGATTCAACGCATCCACAACACATTGAATTAGCAACGTATCCTAAAAATACATTTTTTAATATATATATATTTTTACTTTGTATTCAGTTTGAGTGATAAAAGTCAAAATGACAACATCATAATAAATCTCAAAAAGTGGTTTTATTTAACGTCAACATTACTCCAGCATCTGACATCTACAAAAAAAATATGAAAAACGGTTAATCCTGCGAACCACCCCTAAAACACCTCC